TCAGAAATCGTGAGATGCGTTCTGGTGTGATGTAGGTTTCAGAAAAACATTTTCTTTATCGTGCCAACGTTTCGATCTTTATTGAGATCATCTTCAGCGCTCAAAGTTTGTCTTCTGTGTAATTGTGCCATTCTTGCGTGTCGTGTTGAGAGTAAATTCTAGAAAAACTACTTCTCCCACGATTATTCCCTATAATTGGAAATTCTAAAGTATTCCAGATCAACAGTTCGGATTCAGCTCATTTCACTCGACAACTCAACAAATGCATCGTGTTGCTGACAATATCGCAAGTGGGCACTCTCAACACAACACGCAAGAATGGCACAATTACAGAGAAGACAAACACTTTGACCCTGAAGATGATCTCAATAAAGATCGAAACGTTGGCACGATAAAGAACATGTTTTTCTGAAACCTACATCACACCAGATCGCATCTCACGATTTCTGAATAATTATATTTGGCTGTTGCTATGAACTTTATCTCTTACTTGATGGTAACGGTTGGGTGATTATTTAAAGAAAACAAATCTTCATAAAAAATTCGCTAGTTTACGTGGTCCGCTTGACCAATTAATATATCTTGACACTGACTTTTTTATCTCAACTAAAAACTTCATTAAAAAATTGAAATTATGAAGTTTGAAAACATAGTAATGGATTCACTAACGACTCCTATTTTTATATCCATATTAAATAAAATTCTAAGGGGGATTCTAAGACTATTTATATTCATTCAACATTCTCTCTCTCTCTCTCTCTCTCTCTCTCTCTCTCTCTCTCTCTCTCTCTTTCCCTCTTTCTCTCTTTCTCTCTTTCTCTCATTTCTCACTAACTTTTTGACAATAATTTTCTTTCAGTAGGAATTCTCTTAACTAGATCGCATCTTATGTCATAGTATTATATACTTACATTAACAAATTAATTTAATAAAATTATTAGAATCAAAATAAGTGAACTAAATTATTACCTGGACAATAGCTTCTTTAACAAGATCTATTGGTTTATATTATTTTAAAATCTTGCTATTCTTTTTTTTAAATATTTGTTTGGATATTTTTTTTTCTTCTCTCTTTCTCTGTCATTTTCTCGCGTCGTGATATATCTTTATATTTATAAAATCTCCCTCTCGCTACTTTTTCTTTCTCACTCTATCCCTATCTATATATCTATATAGCTGCTTATCTATACTACATAATCTAATAATGTTGTTTGTTTTTATATCGTTAATTGAAAAATAGGTTTTTCGCGACCTACATTTACGAGATTTTTTTAATATAAAACGATATTCATCTATCAATAGTTCTCTCCCTCTCTCACTAACTCTCTCTCTTTTCCATTCTCTCATTTCTCACTAACTTCTTGCCAACAATTTTCTTTCACCAGGAATTCTCACTAGATCGTAACTTATGTCGTAGTAAGATTTACCAGGCGTCAGACTCTCGGCTAGTAGATCCCGCGGTCGTGGGTTCGATCCCACCATCGCCTCTGGACTTTTCTGACGCCTAAGGGGACCGGTGGCCGCAATTGAAAGAAATTGACACGGCACTCATCAATGGAAGGGGCGGGATCGGATCTCAGCGACCCTGAATTCGGAATCCCAACCCCCTTCAAAAATGAGTTTCTTCGTTGGAAGAACACCAGTACTACGGGGGCTCAAGTTCACATTTGTGTTTGTGTTAAAATTAAAAAAAAAAAATGTCAGACTTCTGCAGTAGCTAGATGCCAAATTATCGTTACATTGAAATTTTTCAAAATCTGCCGTAAGCTAACTTTTTTTTTCAAAAACAGCTGTCCTTTTATCACAGATAAATCCTATTACAACCGCGAAGGATACAATTATTGTATTGTGTGAAATAAAATATCCAAATGAGGAAATGATGTCATTGTATCAATAGTTCTAATTGTAACAGAGAAGTGTGTGTTTTTTCCTGGAATTCAAATTTAATCTCCATCCATAAATGAGTGGATTACCGGCCGAGGCACAAACTCGGAATAGAAAGGAAACTTGTTCAACTATTGATCTAGATGATGATGCCCGTCCATCCATATTGGCCGTTTCCATCCGACAAAAGTTACAAGTTCCTAGACAGAATGAAGGTCAATGGTAAAAATGAAGGCCGCCTTTAAGGAAAACCGAACTCGGGGATTAAAATATCGTAACGACCCTCAGAAACAATATTTAGACGGCAGTGATGTGAAGTCCCTGTGGCGGAACGAGTGTGGAGTCAGGCAGGTGGACAGCGAGAAACGAGCTCGGGACCTTGTTGAGCAATAAGTCCCCCCCCCGCAGAACGATCCTTTATACCACTCCAAACCACCCCATCATCCATTAATTAAATTATTAACCATGAACGTTATTCAGAATAGAGGGAAACCTGAACACAAATTAATATTGTTCACATTGCAAATTGTACGTGAAAACTTTCCACATTTGCAAATATTATTGATTACTCAAATCCGTTATAAATTAACCTGGAAGAATACGGGCAATAAAAAATATAAAATGAAACGTTGCGAAATTCAAAAACATCTGATCATCAGACTGAAGATATTTAGTGATGCAACGACCAGCAGAGAGACAATGTGCTGTTAAAACATAACCTTCGTGTAAAGAAAATGTTTCTATTCTGTGATGGTAGGTTAATAAACAGTAAAAGTCAATACCCATAAAATACCACACCTTAATGACTACATTTTAATACGTTTTTTATTTCCTTGGTGTATCAAAACAAATTCAGTAGGAAATAAATAAAAATTGGTTAATTATATTAAATATTTCAAATAAAAGAGTTAATAAATAAAATGTTTACTACTAATAGCAAAATGGTAACATTTTTCTATTAAACATTGAAAAAACCGAATATTTCGCGAAGTATTTCCCCACTTAATTGGTCCAGGGCAATTACTTAATTGGCTTAAATACTATATTTAAATTAAAAAACTTTTGTGTGTAAATTATTCATTATGCTATTTACCAGTACGTACAGAAAAACCCAATAAAGGCGAATATTTTTTTAAATGCCTCTTTTAAAATTATTTTTTTCAATAAAAAACCAAGGCTTTACATATACAATAGGAAACATAATACATACATATACACATAAACAAATTATTCCAATTAATGATTTAGTAGGCAAAACGAAAAATAACGATTGGGTACTCAGCTAAAATTTGGTGATCGCCAATGCGAGACATATTGCAGAGGGAGCACATCCTGCATTTTGTTCCCATCGACACTTGTTATTTAAGTCGGGTATTTTCCTCGTTTTTGCTTTTATTATTGGAAAAATTCAATATTTGTATAAACCTTTTTTTAAATTTGGAGTTAGCAAAAAGATTAATATGTTTATTTTATAATTATTAAACATATGTGCTATTAACTAGCTTTTTTCTGTTGAATATTAATGAATCTTCCAAAATAATGATAAAAGGTCAGTATTTTTTAAACAAACAGTTTAATCGGAGGAAAAAATATTACCCCTTCATAATTCCTAATAGCTTGGCGCAATTGTAGACTGGATTTAATTTGCTATTTGTTTATATCCCATTATCATGGTGCAAAGACAATCAAATACGCTTTATTACACGTATAAATTAACAAATAAACATATGCCAGCAACTTTAAAAAAAAAATTGGCGCGTCTTAACATCACAGGCTAATCATCGGCAATAGAAGCACTAGGATCACCACTATTGAATAATTACATCCAGTGGGTGGTATTTGAACGTGCACAAAGCACTTATGACAAAATGAAATAAAGCCTGACCCACCTGAGAAACCCACCATAAAATCCTGACTTAAAAAAAGTTTCGATTATTCACTTGTTATCAATATAAATTATACAATAACAACCTCTCTGAGGGTCTAAATCTATATATCCATCATATTTACAACGGTGTCTGCCAAAATAAAAAAATTAAACTTTGAACCTCCCAAATTAAGCCAGGAAGAAGAGATGTTTGGAGAGTGAAAAACCTGGGAAAAAAGAAGAGCCCCTATGGTACATGGAACGTAAAGTGGGAGCTGGTGATTTAACAAAACCTCTGAGCACCTCATTTTTCCAGGTTGAAAACCATGCAATAGAAATGTGCACAGGAACTCTAAAAATGGCAGAAATACTTATATTCTCAGACAGCCAAGCAGCATTGAAGGCTTTGGACTCTTCTACTTCCACTTTCAACTTAGCTGATCGGGGAATGTCCAGCGTATGTCCAACTCCTGGGAAAAGACAAACATATAACTCTGGGGTTCCTGGGGCATGAGGGGATTTCCTAATAAACTAGCTAAACAAAGAGCGGCCCTCACCACATTGAACCAGAACAGCAAAATCGGCTCACCTCAAAACATGATAGAACCGGAATGGGTTGAAGAAGAAATAACTGCACATTTGATAAATTTTCCAGGTGCAGTATAACCTATATATTTCTTAACATCACATCTCTCTCAGAAAACAAGTATTGAGGGAAATAATAGACTCACTAAATTCCATTAAAAAAGACATGATTCCCAATCGGCCAGATATCTACAGATTTATGTAAAGAAATATTGAAAACACTGAAACAGAATCCTGCCGATACTGTCATGAGTCAGCAGGAACATATCTGTAATTTTATCGTGAAGCGTTAGTCGGAAAATGGTAAAGCCAAAGGTGATATTAACACCTAGGGAAATAGGGAAAAAGTCACCCTAAAATGTGCTAACAATCTCAAGCAATGTGGATTGTTTGAGATATTGATATAGAGTAAGGTCAATTTCACAATTGATCTATTAGATCACCTGCGGACAAAGGAGACCACAGTCACCAGTGACCCCGGCAGAAACAAAAAACTGACAAGAGAGCTAGACCATATCAATATTTTCTCCTTTCTCTCTGCAATGTAAATGAAAAGCCCACAAATTTAAATAATAGAGAAAGAGCGGTTGTGTGAGTGCGATAAATTATCTCATTCGCCTTTTTCAATTATTTCAGTTTTAGTTGATCAGCACCGCTCGAATAATCGGTTTATAAGTTGTTTTATTCTCCAGTAATTCCGGATCGACGTGAGGCTAATAGGCCTCGAAGGAGCCTCTTTGCGGCTTTATTAAGTGTTTCTCACTTAAGGAGTTGCGGACATGTAGACACAGTAATTGCTCAACGAGGGGCCCGTTGTGCAAACTTCGACTTAGGTGGGCGGGGAAAACTTCGTATCGCTCACTTTCCCACCTTCGGACACGTTAACATGCAACGCTTATCAGGGAAACCACACACTTCACGGTTAAAAACAACGTATAATTAAAACGCTTTACTTCTTCTGGTTCTTCGTCTTCAAAGGCTGAAACAAAAAAAAAATAATGTTAGCCAGTGTGAAGGTTCAAACAGGTACCTACATAATTTGTCAATAAAAAACCATAATAGTTATTATAAAAACAGCAGTGTTGCTGAAATTGCCTAAACCCTTTATGTCCTTGCCATAGTTGCGTTTTCCTTCTGCAACTTGTCTATAGCTTTGTTCAACGACAAGTTCTTTACGACATTGCCATGACCAATTTATTGTGTAATCTCCATCATTGTTTAAAGTTCTTCATTAAGTTCAAAATTGTATTAACGTCTGTGTTTATCCTTCAAATCTTGACTTTTCCTCTCCCAGGTAGAAATCTCAAACTGCATTCTCAACCTTCCCACTAACTTTCGCTGTTTCTTCTTTTCGATATGCATAGATTTCTACTACTATGAGTTCATTAAATGCACACCTCCGAAGTTTGTAGTGTCCAGTCAACAACCATAATGGTCCTTTAATGAACCTTTAGGGGCGTCGGTGGCCGCAACGGTATGGGGCATTGACACGGCGCTCATCACTGGAAGGTAAAGGTCCTGGGTTCGAATCCAGCGGCCCTGCATTCGAACCCGACATACTTACAAATGGGATTTTTTTCAAAAACACCGGCACCCCGAGGGTTGATATAACCTCTGCTGTTGTGAACCCTCGTAAAATAAAAATTTAAAAAAATGAACCTTTATCGTACCTGGGATACATTACCATTGAACTTATTGATCACCCGTTGTGTGATGGATCTACGTTTTATGTCAATCAATTTAATACTACGAAATAACGATCTAATTTATAATAATTACTAATGTAAAGTTTACCCTCTAAGATGTAAAGCTTTTAAATTTATTAACTTGATAATTTTGGTCTAGTCGTATTTTTTAGAAAATTTAAAGCCAAATTATAATGTTTATATTAACTATTTAATTTCTTCAGATTAAGGTTTTCTTTTCTTATCTATGTTCCTTTCTGCTGTCTATTGATTAATGGATTGTGTAAGATTTTTTAACCAAAAAAGAGGCAAATGTTTTATTGGTAGTATACTTTTCGGCATTCTTTGTGCCAAGCAGCTAGTAAAAGGTATTAGTATGTAAAAAAATCGCAACAATTAGTCAGGACTATATATCTTTCACTGTCATCTGAGAAAACATGGACACAACACGGATAGATTCAATGATGACCCCATTTATAGGTTACGGCAAAACTATTAGGCACGTGCCTAAGCATACAGACATTCCCTTGGGCAATTTTTTGTCTCGCCTATGACCGATGTTCCACATAAAAATTCGGTACTTCTCTAGATAGCGCTATTTTAACCGGTGGACCTTGGAAAGCTGGGTTTCTCGTACCTCTGCTTACATTAACTTATTTTGTTTTATTATTTTATGTCAATGATTTCTGATTTTGTTTATGGAGCTAAATATGGGCCATTATGTGCAGTTTATAGATTTCTAAACCCGTATAATGTTTCCTGTTTTCGGTGGAGTTGTATCAATATTACACCATCGGAGGAAGCATTCGGAAGGACAAAGTTTTGACCAACTTTACCTGATTTTCTCAATTTTTTTTATTACGTTTTTTTTTTTTGGGGGGGGGGCGTTCTAATTAAAAACGATAAAAAGTACGGGAGAGGTAAGATGAATGAGAAAAAAGTGCTGGCAGTGGGGGGGGTGCGAAAAAATCATATAAATTTTCTTATTTAAAAAATCCTACTTTGCTACGTCACTAAGAATGTCTAATATTTTCCGATTTAGTATTACCAAAAAATGTTTAGTCAAAATCAGTAATCTCACAACCGTATACTCCGTTTGTTAAACCCATACAAACTTTACCTCGAGAGTCTGCTGATTTGTGCTGAGCTTGACCATCAGCGAGGTCATCTCTGCCATCTCCGAGAGAATGAGGTCCCTCAGTGTGTCTTCGACGGATGCCTTTTCCAGGTCGCCGTTGGTTACGAGATGATCCCTGAAAAGGGCGAGTTGTCCCTTCAGCTCGGAAAGGGCCTCTTCCATCTCGGTGAACTCGCTCCAGTCCGAGCCCTCCAGAGTGTCCAGGAACTTGGCCAGTTCGCCGAGTAATTTGTCGTAATCAGGGTTCTTCTCCATGTTTTCTTTTTGAACAGACTGGTGATGAGAAGACAGCTGTTTTCTGAATAACAATTTAAAAAAGCAATAACGTCGAATTTCTTTGTCTGTTAATAACGAAATAATAAGCTTCATCGGCTAAAAACCAAACTTTATCTTGACCTGTTTGGTTAATAGAAAAAATATTATAACCTTATTACCTAAATAATCTCGTATAAAAATGTTTATTTTAATTTCGTTTACATCCGTGAGTATTTACTGTTCGTACACGCACGGACTGAAAATAATAGAGCTTGGGCTGTAATCAGCGAGTAACTGCGGATCCGAAAATAGTCGATACCTCCGTCCCAATTTATGTCTTTAGCTTATTATTTTATATTTTCCTCAGATATATTATTACCGACATGGTATGTTCATTTGTATAGTTAATTATTGAATAACGAGACAGAAAATTGTTTCTCCCCTAAACATACTAAAAAGCTGTTTTGTTTGCGTCAAATTTATTTTTTCCTTCTTTTTATTCAAGTTATGATACACCTATGTTGCACAAAAATCGTGAGAAAAAGGAAGAAAACAAACTTTCTTTTGGGACTTAAAGACTTCAGGAATAACAAACATACATAATAAAGCCGTATCCTAGACTCGTGCTCAACACAAATACAAAAGAGCAATTACAATTACGAAGTTACGAATATATACAATGTAAACATAAACTAAAATGTAATATAATAAAATTTAAAATGACAATTAATTTTCATAATACAGATGATTTAATAATAATTTTTTAATTAGGGCAACTGGTGCTAAGTTGCAATGACAGAAGGTAATCAAATAGACGAGAATAAATGTGGGAAGAGAAGGGGCTTGGCTGATAGAGTGAGGAAGGGAATTCCAGAGGTTAGATGAACGGATGAGGTTGACTGAAAGCAGTGGTTCTGGGTTCAGGAGGATAGAGTTCAGAAAGAAATAGTATGACAGTAGAGTAAACCTAAGAATTAGTAAAACATATATATAGTAAGGAAACTGGAAGTTCTAATGTGGTGACGGGCGCGAAGGAACTGGTCAGGGGATGGTTAGGGTGAAAAAGCAGCGGCAGGAGATTTAGGAAATACGAGGTTTCCAAGATCAGGTCAGTCAAGTACAATCCCAAGGTTCTTGGCAGTCGGACAGATAGAAATAGGGTGTTTGTTTAAAATAAACGGGGGGTAAAAGGTAAGAATTGGAGGAAGGAACGAAATCCAAACACAATCGCCTGAGACTTTTCTACATTAAGGTTAAGCCCATTTTCAGTGGCTCAGGATCTAATTGAATTTAAATCCTTCTGAATTGTTTTTCAATTGCAGCTCATAAGTCAGTAAGTAATCGTGTTCAGCACATTTTTACGTTCATAAAATGCATAAAAACCTATTCACTGTGTTTTCAAAATTCTTCTTAAATTTTTTGACCATTTGCAGGGAATTGTATGATCTTGTATGACCTCTGGCCGCCTACTGAAAAAGCTGTTTTCTTTTTTTCATCTTACTCGTCCTAGGAGTGCTAGTTTTTCTATTTAATAGCCATTTTATGGGTTCTGCAAGAATCCATACCTGCAATGAGAACCTTTTATTATACGTGTTAGTCTAGATGAGATCGTCCGTTTTTTCTTGGATGAGTGAAACCCCCTCAACTTTCCGTCCGAATGGACTTTGAAATAATATTGTTTCGACATGATGAAATAGGTGGATATGGATGAAAGGGGAAGTCGATATTTGTAATTGGAGCTAGAGCGGGTTCCCCCTGACGTCTTTACGTCTTAAGCATATTAACTATCCAAAACGCATATTTGTCTGTTATCGATTATCCAGCCCTTCTCCCTGTTGTTTACATATCCGGCCGGATCCTTTTCCACCACTAATTGTCGTGTCATTGTAATATTTACGGCCGACGGTTTAAGCGATATTGACAGATTAATTGTCAACCTGATTGCCCCATTTAGCCGTTAAAGGGGGAAAATTATGCAAACGGAATCGAACCGGATTTTTATAAGGACATCGTCACTGTTCTCGAATTTGCCGGAAATCGATACGAATAAACAACCGTTTATTAATAGATAAAAGGTCAGCAATCATAGAATTGCATGCCTTTGCCGGACGACGGCATTAAATATTTTTGTTGTTTCATATCCTCGGAAATATCTTATATAAGTTTTATGGATGGACATCCGATCAGGTTTTGTAAAATAGGTTTTCTGCTGAATTTAATAGGAAATCGGAGTTGCCATCCTTGACAGTTATCTTTTGCACTGAGACGAAATACACATCATTTACTTATAAATATTCTAATGTTGGTTCCTTAGAAAAACAAAATCGATTTAATTTTTATATACACAATTACAACTTCAAACTTTAAAAAATTAACTATATTAACAAGATGTGAATCTAATGTGATTACAGTATATTTATTTTTGATTTATATAAAATTTAGACGACAAAATTATTTTGTGGTAAACATTTTCGACCTTTACATTAAAAATGCGCATTCATTTTAATGTACCAAATAAGGTACAAGTAGCGTAACGAATAATATATTTCAAATAAAGTTAATAAGTAAATCTTTATTTTTAGTTATTTAGAAATCGTGAGATGCGGTCTGGTGTGATCTAGGTTTTAGAAAAACATTTTCTTTATCGTGCCAACGTTTCGATCTTTATTGATATCATCTTCGGGGCCTGGGATTTACAAACATTGTTTACATATTACAATTACATTTTAGATGTGGAAAAGTGAATTTATAAATTGCAAAATATATTTTTATATATATATTATCTTTTTTATTTTTTTATTTTTTATTTTATTTTTTTTTTCCCAGCCGGCTAGCTGCCTGGGCTATTGCCGGCACCTCACATTTCTTCCACCTCACGTTTTATAAATTTATTTATTTAATTTTTTTTTAATTAGCTTTTCTGTAGGAAGTCTGGCGATCTTTCTGGTTGTGTTCTGAGACGTTATTTCTACATTTTTAGCCCTCCCACACGTGGTGAAAAGGATCTGAAACTATCTCATTCACTAACATTCAATCCTAGCCTAGCCTATAGGCGGGTTTCAGAGTACTCGATATTCCTCTGAAGACCCGCCCTCGTTCACGCTAATAAATACATCCATACATTATGTACAATTAAAATTACAATTAATCTAAAACTTTAACCTAGGTGGTGGGTTTACGGGGTACTTGATATTCCACCATAGACCCACCCATGCATACACTACTATCGCACTAATAAATACATTCACTCAAACAGTAACCAATCATTCCGTATTTTATTTATTATCTAAATAAATATCGATTAACGGTCACTAATCACCACACATTTATTTTTAGTGCTTCTTTTTTTTTCAAATTGAATAAAATGTTAGCTTGTAGTGAAACAAGTAACTGAAAGCTTCTCATTGAATAATAAATGAAGTTTCGAATCTAACTGCAGTATTTAAGTTCTATTTTTACCAACCTATCTTTTTAATTAAAGTAAAATTTGAAGAAAAATTGACATAGTCGTATAGTCATATAATCACCATAGCCATACATTGACATGGCTCATTTTAATTTGGTGATTGATTGGAACGAAAGTATTTATTTCCGATTATCTCGAGGAATATCCAGCGCTCCGAGGTAGTGAGAATATAATGCGGTGTGTGTATGTTGTTTACTAGCGAGAATGGCCGACGTAGGGGTAGTGTCAATATAATTTAGTAGCCTGAATGGAAGGACTTATCCCCGATTACTAGGAATATCGAGTACTCTGGGATAGTGGTAATGAAATCATTTAGCATGCACGAAATGGATTATCCCTAAACACTCTGAGGAAAATCGATTACTCTGTAGTTTGAATGAATTGTGGTGTGTGCATGTTATTTATTAGCATGAATGGCAGGGGTTATCCCAAATTACCCTGGAGGAACTTACGGGTGGATTAAGTTCTCTAAACAAAATAAAGCAAATAAAACAAAATATTACCTTTTAAACATAATAATACCCCTGATAATAATCCTTGATAATACGTACCTCAAGTTTAGCAGAGTGCGGAGTAAGATGTGCTCCGACTCAAATACCAAAAAAAAGGAAAAGGAAACAAAAAGTGAACTAAAAACTATCCTACCAGGAGAATTTTATTCATAATATTTCAAAACTATTTACATTCATTGCAGTAAAATCTCCTACCATCGCGACTCTTTTGTTAATATCATCCCAATCACTAAATACGCAGAAATAATAATAGTTTTAAATAATATATTTTCGAAAATATCGTGTTTTTAATTCTTGGAACTATCCGACCTATGCGCCGTCCAGCGTTGTTACATTACCACGTACGTGTCGCTTCTAATTGGGCAGCCCTAAGGAATATCTAGTTCTCTGGAGTATGTGACTGAATTCGTGGACGTAATTTATGAGCATAAATGAAGATTATCCCTAAATACGAGGAAAATTGAGTATTCTGGAGTAGGATGGATCAGTTTTGGCGTATGAATATTAGTTATTAGTATGAATGGAAATGTCCTAACTCATCCCAAATTGCCCCAAGGAATATCGAGTATGAATATATAATGAAAGTTGCAGAACTTATTGTACTTTCTTAGTTCTTCAGTTCATTCCGTCGATTTAGTCCTTCTTTTAATGAGTACTAGGACATTGACTGTCGTTGCTAAAATTCCTTTCCCTGAATTTGTATCCCAGGTTATGTCTCCATTGAGGGGTTGCTTCACATTCGAAATCGGGTGGCTGTTTCTTCCTCCTCATTGCATAATTTATATACAGGTTCATCATTCAATATGCACATGTTGTATGGATGTTTTCTCAGAAACCAGTGACCAGTATTTAGATGACCTATCACGTCTCTGAAAGAGCCTCCACTAATCGAATATCGATCGGAATATCGAGTAATCTTGGGTAGTGTCAAGGAAGTCTGGTGTGTGAATGTAACTTTTTAGCGGGAATGTTGGTCTTATCCCCAATTAGAATATTATCCCCACCCTTAGGAATATTAGGTACTCTAGGGTCGAGTAACTGTTGACCAGACTACTATGAATTTTTATGTTTTGTATATGTGTTTGTTTTTGTGTTATTTTATCCTCAATCCCTCCTTCGAGGGTCTGAGGTTCAGAGAGATTACCGTTATACAACATGTTATTACAAATTGGAGATA